ACGTTAAATTATTGTCCATATCCGGATAAGTTATGAAAAATATTGTCAATTATTGACCATAAACAGTCAAGTTATGGTGTATAACCGCACAAATTATGGACAAAAACTGTGAATTATGGACAATAACTTGTCAAGTTATGGTTTATAACCAGACAAGTTATTGACGAGCATTACATGTAAAAATATGCAACATAACTAAAATAACTTGAAACTTGTTTACTTACTAAAATTAAAAACCAATCTATTAGAAATGTTAAACATACTAGACTCTAAAAAACCAATAAACAATATAATCTGTGCGAAAACTAGAAATATACAAGAATCTGAAAACCAACAAGTCAAGTTATTCAATATAATCATCCAAATCAAACTCAATTGCATCTTTTAGGGGTCATAAAATGCATTTTTTGTGCATTTTAACCCATGTCATCATCACTTTCATAGCCCAATTGCTGCTTCCGCAAGGCATGGTTGAACAACTCAGCTACCATCTTCTTACAGAATAATGTTCCAGCCCCTTGCTTTCTCAAATAATCATCACATCCGGCTTTCATTAAGAGCTCAGCCATCTTAAGCATGAATATTCCACAATCACCACTACAAAAACCAACAACCAAAAATCTAATAATTAGAAACAACAAACATAAATGCAAAAATGAATCAAGTAAAGGGAAAACAAAAAAATATTTAAAGAGATAAAAAAAACTAACTCATTCTCTTGTCTTGGACAATTTTCAAATATGATCTCAAAATGGTCAAGATGATCAAATTGACTAATGAAATACTTTTGTGTATGAGAATTAAAATAGCCAACAGATTCAAGCAAGTGTGGAAGAATGACTGCCAAAGATTCCACATAAGCATGAACTTATTTCTCTACTCTCTTTGAAAAAAGAGAATCATATATCCTAATACAATGATCCTTAAACTCAACATAACCCAAAATCCAATGCTCTCTACGCTCAAGAAAAATAGGTACGAGAAGAATGTCCACTTCACAAAAAGGCAAGCTACAAAATAAATAATCTCCCAACACATAATCTTGAAAAGCACAATGTGAAGAGAAATCAAAAGTAGACCAATCAAAATTCTTTTGGTTTTTAGAGCACCATAAGCTATTAATCCTCGTGAAAAAATGCGAGTCCAAAACCATGCACCTAATATAAGGCTTGTTTGTGTAGCACACTATCTTTTTTCGCAAGTAATACACAGCTACATCAACATGCTATCAAAAGAAAAAAAATAATGATAAGATTTGTTCCAAAAAAAAACCTTGCATAAAATTTAAAAAGAAAAAAAAATGGCAGAATCTTGCCGAGTCACTTAGCCAACATTTTGGGGTCGATAAAGTTTGAAACCAATGCTTTGAGTCAACGGTGTCAACTTTGAAATCAAAAGCAGAATTTATCAAATGCACATCCTTGGCTGGTCCCCACCCTTTTCTAGAGATCATATTAGTCTTATACCATGCTTGGAACCTTGCCTTGTCTTCTTCTGACACATCGCAATCAATAATTTCAGAGAATGGACAAAAAAATAAATCCCTCAAAACTGAAGCAATTGTTTCTTCAATTTTGTCAGAAGAAACACCCACTTTCTCATCCCTTTCTCTGCAATTGTTTCTTCAATTGCTTCTTCCATTATTTCTTCAATTGCTTCTTATCATTTGTTTCTTCAAATGCTTGTTCTTCATTCCTTTGCTTGTTCTTCTTAGAAGAAAACACACTATCAAATTTTTCACCAAGCATTATCATTGACTAAACCACAAAAGAAATTTGTTCATTGAAATCTCTTCAAAGGGAAAAAACTTCAACAACCAATCTATTAGTTTTTGTTTCCAAGGAAGCAAAGCATGCCAAAAATTCAGAATTACCAACAACACCTGATAAGTGTATGAAAATGCACTTAAATTGTTCATAATTGCTAAATAAATTAAGTTTTAATTAAATATTTTCGTGGAATTAATATTTTTTGTGAAAGTATTTTAATTTAATTTAATTTAATTTATTTTGTAGGAAAATAAGACATTTGGGCCAAAACTATAAAGAGAAAGAGAAGCCCATCTGAAGCCCATCAGCAAGCCTAGCCGCCAGTCAGCCACCGCCGAGCCAAGCCGTTCGAGCCACTCCACCAGCTGTGCTACGTGGCATTTTCTGGCTAGTCCCCCACGTTTCCCACTCAGCCACGCGAGCGTTTCGCCCACGCCAAGCCTAACTCGCGAGCTGCCTCCACGCGCGCGTAAGCCCATCTCTCTCTTCTTCCGCGTGGGACCCAGTTGTTCCCTCCCGCACGCGCGTTTGGCGTGCACTGCTTCCTCCCAGGGCGAGTTCCTTCCACGCGAGCGTCAGGAACGCTTCTCTCTTCTTCCGCGTGGGTCCCGCGTGTAGTAGCTCTCCTTCCACAGCTCGCCACGTGTCCAAGCCTGTCGGCCATTTACTCCCCTCGACCTCTCTTCATGCGACACGTGTCCCACCCGTTTGGGATTCTCACCCAGCTGATCCATTTGGTTCCGTTGATGTCATGGTTAATTTCAGCATTCAGTATCCGAATAATGCCTTATAAATTCCAATTTAATTGGAAAACGTTTTTGTTCTGTTTTCTTTTACTTGCTGTTGATAGTGTTTTTTAGCATTCCTAAAACTTTATAAATAGGGCCTATGTTTAGTGTATTGGGTTGTTGATTTTGAGCCTAAATTCTTACACTTTTTCCCTTATTTTCTTGCTCTAATTCTCATACTTCTTTTTAGAATTTTATGGGAATTATGTGCAAGCTAGGCTAGAGTTTTTGGGTGAGGCTAGAGATGATCATATATGTGTAGTAAGCTTGTTTGGATTTTGATTCTCCAATAGTTTGTAAGTTTTATACATTTGAGTAAATAATTTTCTCTTATCATATTTCTTCCTCTTATCAATATATTTTATTGTCAACTTTTATATAAATCTAGTCAAGCTCTTTTTATGTGATTGTTGCATGATATTATATATTGGTAGGTATTGTTTTATGAGTAGTTTTTTACTGCAATATTGCCAACGGTATATTGTCGCTTTTAGATTTCTTATAAGATAATTTTTCCTAGTTCTAAACGTAAGAATTTTAGTTACTCGAATACATTTTAATTCACAAGTTCTTCAAATATTTATCTTCCGATTGATTGTTTGGGATGTGAAACTTTCAATTGAGTCAATTTATGAATCAAAATCTAAATGGGTGAACGAAGCATATGGAGGATTCTCAATGCCTTACAACTTTTTTATTATTGAATTTTCTCCATTTTAAATTGTTCAAAAACACTCATTTCTTCTTTGTTTGATTGCTTTCTTTCCTAACGCTTTTTATTTGCTAATCGTTTCTTGTTCAATTTATCGCCTCCTCATGGGATCGACCGTCCTAATTGTACTACAATTGATCGCTTATTTTTGTACACGTTTGGGCGTAATCAACACCCTAAAAATGCAAAGAAAAGAAAACAAAAAAGTCAAATCAAATGAAAAACACAACGTATCAAGCTATGGAACATAACGAATCAAGTTATGTGAAAAACTTGCCAATTTAGAGTATAACCTATCAACTTATTGACCATAACCTGACAATTAATGGACCATAACCTGGCATGTTATGGAGGCTAACCTGTCAAAGTTATGGTCCATAATTTATGAAGTTATAAGATTCTAATGGTAAAGAAAGCTCTAAGATCCCGCTGTACTAACGGAGCTACTAACAAAATCTATTACCAATAGGTATCCAAGAGCTTCCTTACTGTGTCGAACCAAGTTTAAAAACAACTTAAAATCATCATCCCTCTTTAGCTCTGAAACCATTTCAATTGGGTCCTTCAACTTCCTTCCCACAAAAAGTAATAAAGAATGAACACCAACATTAAAACCAATCAACTCAAGATGTAGCTCCTCACATAAACACTCGTGTAAACACTTCAAAGAAGCATCATCCGGAATAAAAACTGATTGAAAACTAACATTTGTATATTGGTTTTCTAGACTCCATTTTCCCTATAAGCAACAATGACTGAAATAGATTGCATGCCTACAAACATATTGTAGGAACACTGTCTTGTTAAAGTGCATAACCGAACAAGTTATGTAAAAAACCTGTCAATTGTGGACCATAACTCGTTAAGTTATGTTCCATAACCGGACAAGTTATAAAAAAAAATGTCAATGATTGAAACAAATTGTATGCCTACAAAAATCATTAAATTACAAGAGCTATATTCAATCCTAAAAATATTAAAAACCGAAATAATGCAAAATGTGAAAACAAAATTAAATTAAAAAAAAAGAAACGAAGAATGCACAAACCTGTTGTTCGGTAAAAATCACCGGAGGACCTGCTCAAAAAATGACCGGAAAACAGCAAAAAACACAAGATTAATGGACAAAGAGAGAGAGCAAACCAAAATAATTTAAAATGTGAAAATGAAAATACAACAAAAATAAAACTAGAAACGAAGAATGCACAAACCTGCTATTCGGTAAAAATCACCGGAACATCTGCTCAAAGCGACCGGAGAAGAGCAAATCCAATGAGAAAGAGAACAAACGACCAACAAAAAATTGATCCACCGATGAGAGAGCAAATCCGAGCGCAGTTACAGAGGATCCGCGCCGGTAAAGATCTGCGTGAAGCTAGAGAGAGAGAGCGCTGCAGGTACAGTTAAGAGAGAGACACAGAAAGGATCGAAAGAAAAAGGAAAAAAAAGAGTAAATTTAAAAATTCAAAAATTATGACATATTAAATTTTATAACTAAAAATTGGCCTATATACTTAAGTTTATCGTATTGACTTATTCTCTACTATTTTCCTTCCATGTAATCCTTGGACGGGAAAGATTGGGCCTAGGCATCATACAAGGCCCATAATTTGTCCTCAAATTATTCACTTTGAGCCCAGTCCAACTAGTGACCCAATTTCCAGAAGCCCAAAAAAATTATCCCCGTCGGCTTCTTTCTACTAGGAGAAAAACAAAAGGAGTTCAGTAAATGAAAGTTCACAGCGAAATGGGTACCAGCGGCGGCGGAGACGGCAGCGTGGAAGTAAAGAGAGCGTTCATCGGAGCAGGATGCAACAGAATAGTCAATAACGTCTCTTATGGCGCCTCTGATTTCGCGGCTTTCGGCTCTCAAAACGCCGTCGCCATTTTCTGCCCCAAGGTCCCTCCTTTTCTTCTTCAAATCTTCTTTTATTATTCTCTACCATGGTTTCTCGCTGAATTTCTCCATCAAAATTTTTCCCTTTTTTTTTTCCCTCTCGAATTGCAGAGTGCTCAGATTTTGACTACGCTTCCGGGTCACAAGGCTTCCGTGAACTGCACTCACTGGCTTCCAAGTGCTAAGTTTGCTTTTAAAGGTTTCTTTTTTTTTTTTTTTTTTTTGCTTTTCGTTTTTAGTCCTTCGTTTTTGGAAGCTGTTGCTTGAATTTGTTATTTGTGTGTTAATGGTTTTTGCTTACTCTGTTTCATGAGCTGAGAAGTAAAGAGAATTTGAAAGAAGAGAAAAGAAAAGAACATGGAATGCGAATATTATTCTCAAAGTTTTGCTTCTTATTAATATCCAAATTGAGAATAACACTTAGGCATAATAGGTTAAGTAGTTCGTTAGTAAGGATTTGAAAATGGGAAAACAAAATAAGAAAAATTGATTTGTTGATAGTTGGTGAATACTTGCTGGTTTTTTAATGAGAATTTTCTGTTTATCAACAGCTAAACACTTTGAGCGGCATTACCTGCTTTCTGGAGATGCTGAAGGCGCCATTATTTTGTGGGAATTATCTGTTCTTGAAGGAAAGGTATTTTTGGATTTTCTTTCTTTCTCTGAAAATAGGGTGTAAAAGATTGCTGAACATGTTGAAATGTATAAGTGTTATTCACTATTTTATACCATGCATTTTTAGTCATCAAAAGTACACAAGATGTATTTTGGACATATTCAAAAGTGTACCTGTGAATTTTGAATTTATGTCAATTTACACCATTTCAGGGTCAGCAATTGATTTTTGATCCCCCTAAATTGATGAATTTTCACCTTGTAGCGTAATGCTTATAGATACTTGGAACCCGTTTCCAATTTGAGGTTATGGTAAAAATAAAAACAAAGGAAAGAATCGTAAAAGTTATATTTTCAAAGCTAAGCTGCAAAGGATAAATTTGCCAAGTAGTGTTGGATTAGTGGTTATCCCATAAGGTACAAAGGGTAAATTCATCAATTAGGGGTCAAAATCAGCTGTTGACCCATTAAAGGTACAACTTTAATTCGAAGGTATAATCTTGAGACCATACAAAATACATGGTATACTTTTTTGATAAACTCAAAATGCAAGGCATGAAACTATAAATATCCCAATATATAATTTATTAGTGGCTTCATTTTATTCTCTCTTTATGTTTGCTTGCAGTGGAGGCATGTATTACAAGTACCAGAATCACACAAGAAAGGTGTCACGTGCATTAGTGCAATTATGGTTTCTGAAACTGAAGCAATCTTCGCATCAACATCTTCGGATGGTACAACTTACATATGGGAGGTGGCTTTTCCATCTACTAGTGGAGGTTAGCCAAGTTTTCTCTTGCATCAGCAAGAACTGTTTCTCTTTTATGCCTTTTGGATTTAGTATTGCATTGACCTCAACGCTGCTGTGCATGTAGCCAGGCCATTCGATATTAATCTAAGAAAGTAATAAGTTTTACTGCTTTAATTTGGCTGAGCTTTTGCACCAAAGTGACACTTTGTTCCAAAAGAAATGATGATCATGTACCCGTGTTCCGTATTTTGATTGTTATCTGTGGTTTTTAACTTTTTATTTTTTTTCTTATTTTTTTTCCCTGCCTATACTTCTTCGACAGTATCTATTAAGGATAAATGAGTTTTTTCTTACGCGGCTATTTATTTTTCACTGAATCCGGAGCAAATCAAACTAAATGCTGGTTGTTTCAGGTGAATGTAAATTGTCGTGTCTGAACTCTATCTCTATTGGTTCAAAACCTATGGTAGCACTCTCATTGGCGGAGCTGCCTGGAAGTAATGGACGTATAGTCTTGGCAATGGGAGGATTGGATAGTAAAATACATCTTTATTGCGGTGAGAGAACTGGACAGGTATGTAGCCACGAACAAATCAACCTAACTTTTCTCCATCTTTTATGCAGATTTTTATTTTTTGACTTTCTTTTTCTCATTGGTTCCTCTCAGTTTGTTCATGCTTGTGAGTTGAAAGGGCATACAGATTGGATCCGATGTCTGGATTTCTCGTTGCCTATACATATTGATGACACGACAGAAACTATTCTCCTTGTAAGTTCTTCTCAGGACAGAGGCATTCGGATATGGAAGGTTGCACTACGTGGAGACACAAAAGAAGAAAATAGTTTAGCATCTTATATAAAAGGCCCTGTACTTGTTGCTGGGACATCCTCATATCAAGTATCTTTGGAGTCTCTGCTAATTGGACATGAGGATTGGGTATATTCGGTTGAATGGCAACCCCCTTCTTCTGCATCTGGAGAAGGAGTTTCGTACTACCAACCCCAAAGCATCTTATCCGCATCGATGGACAAGACAATGATGATCTGGCAACCAGAAAGAACTTCTGGCATCTGGATGAATGTTGTTACTGTTGGGGAATTAAGTCATTGTGCACTGGGGTTTTATGGGGGTCACTGGAGCTCAAATGGAGATGCAATTTTAGCACATGGATATGGTGGATCGTTCCATATCTGGAAAAATATTGGTGTTGACTCTGATAATTGGCAGCCACAAAAAGTTCCATCTGGACATTTTGCAGCAGTAACAGATATTTCATGGGCTAGGTTGGGTGAATACTTGTTGTCCGTTAGTCACGACCAGGTAAATATTCGATTCGTGGTAGAGAAATTTCTTTATGTGTTAGTGTTTGCATTTTTCTTTTTAGATTCTAGATAAAATTATGTATATCTAGTAAACTCATGACCCTGTTGAAATGTGCAGACAACTCGAATTTTTGCTCCTTGGCAAAATGAAGCTTCTCTTAGTAATGGGGATGCTTGGCATGAAATTGCTCGCCCTCAAGTCCATGGTCATGACATTAACTGTGTTACCATTATCCAAGGAAAGGGGAACCATCGATATGTCAGTGGAGCCGATGAAAAAGTTGCCAGGGTATTTGAAGCTACTTTGTCTTTTCTAAAGACGTTGAATCATGCCGTGTCACAAGATAGTGTTTTTGAAGATCTCCAAACAGGTGTTCAGGTTTTGGGTGCGAACATGTCTGCCCTTGGACTATCACAGAAGCCTATCTATGTGCAAGGTGAGTCACTCTCTCAACTCGCACACAATCTACTTTCTACCCCACTTGCTCGTGTGGAAAGTTACAGGTTTTCAGTTCCCTGTGCATTGAAGCTCATCTATTATGTTCTAAGAACATATATCAGTTGGTGAAAATTGCGAATAAGTTAGCGGCCTTTTTCATGCAGCTAAGCAGGAGACCCCAAGCAGGATTGGTAATGAGAACCTAGACACACTTGAAACTATTCCTGATGCGGTCCCAGTAGTGTTAACTGAACCTCCTATTGAAGATCAACTGGCATGGCATACACTATGGCCAGAGTCTCACAAACTCTATGGTCATGGTAACGAACTTTTCTCTCTATGTTGTAATCATCAAGGGAATCTGGTAGCCTCATCATGTAAGGTATGTGGCCAGTCCTGTAAAGCTCTCATAATCATAAGTAGAACTAGGGCTAACGTCATCATGAATTTGCAGTAAAGTTATTAACAGTTTTGAGAAGAATAATCAATATTACTTATTTTATTAAAGAGTATGTGAATATATATAGGAAGTAAGGAAAGCTACTGATAAGCCATAAACTAGGAAACTAATTATTCCTTCTAAAGGATAAGATAAACTAATAAGATAAGCTATAAGATTTGAATATTAATTCAAATCTCTTATTAAAAGATAACACTCCTAATAATTATCCCTAATAAGTAGAAGATAAAATTGATCATAATTGACACCCCTCCTCAAGTTGGTGCATAGATGTTCAACATGCCCAACTTGCTCGTGAGAAACTCGAAGTTCGGTCTGAAGAGTCCCTTGGTAAGAATATCAGCTATTTGTTGCGTTGAAGGAACAAATGGCATACAGATTGTTCCAGCCTCCAGCTTCCCCTTTATAAAATGACGATCGATCTCAACATGCTTGGTTCGATCATGCTGCACAGGATTGTGAGCAATACTAATTGCAGCTTTGTTGTCACAATCAACTTCATTGGCATCTCAATTGGTCTTCTAAGTTCGTCAAGAATCCGCTTGATCCACAATATCTCACATACTCCATGTGCCATGGCTCAGTATTCAGCTTCTGCGCTACTCCGGGCAACTACATTCTGCTTTTTGCTCCTCCATGTAACCAAATTACCCCATACAAAAGTGCAATAACCGGATGTAGACCTCCTATTTGTAATGGAACTTGTCCAGTCTGCATCAGTGTAAACCTCAATAGTCTTTTCTTCGCCTTTCTTAAACAACAATCCTTTTCCCGGTGTACCTTTAAGGTATCTTAAAATTTGATATACTCCTTCAAGATGTTCTTTACAAAGAGAGTGCATAAACTGACTCACAACACTTACTGCAAAGGCTATGTCAGGTCGGGTGTGGGATAAATAAATCAGCTTTCCCACTAACTTCTAGTACCGAGCTGTGTCAACTGGTGCTCCATCCTTGCAATCACCTAATTTTTGGTTCAGATCTATGGGAGTATCTGCAGGCTTACATCCGCTCATCCCAGTCTCTTTGAGAAGATCTAGCACATATTTTCTTTGCGAGACAACAATCCCTTTTCTTGATATGGCAACCTCAATTCCTAGAAAGTATTTCAGGGTTCCCAAGTCTTTGATCTCGAATTCTGAGGCTAATCTTCTCTTTAATTGCTCCATCTCTGCGACATCATTACCAGTGAGAATAATATCATCTACATACACTATTAAGACTGCCACTTTACCATCCATGGAGTGTTTCATAAACATGGTGTGATCACTTTGAGCTTGGACATATCCCTGATTTTTCACCGAATGAGTAAATTTTTCAAACCATGTCCTCGGAGATTGTTTGAGTCCATATAAAGGGCTTTTTTAGTTTGCAAACTTTGGAGTCAAACTTCTCTTCAAACCCAGGTGAAGAGGCCATGTACACTTCTTCCTTCAAGTCTCCATTCAGGAACGCATTCTTTACATCTAACTGCTGAAGAGGCCAACCAAAGTTTGCTACAATTGAGAGAAGTACTCTCACTGTATTTAACTTGGCTACTGGGGCAAAGGTCTCAAGATAGTCAATGCTATAGGTTTGTGTAAAACCTTTGGCCACCAAGCGAGCCTTGTATCGTTCAAGAGTTCCATCCGAGTTATATTTGATTGTAAAGACCCACTTGCAGCCCATAGTCCTTTTTCCACGTGGCAGATCCGTCACTTCCCATGTTTGATTCTTCTCTAGAGCCCTCATCTCCTCATAGACAGCCTTCCTCCACTCGGGAACCTGTAAAGTTTCTTGTACACTTTTTGGAATTTCCACAGAAGAAAGTTGTGAAGTAAAGGCTAAGAAATTAGGAGACAACTTTTCATAGGAAATATAGTTAGACATGGGGTGCCTAGTGTAGGAACGAATGCCCTTCCGGGCAGCAATAGGGACATCAAGATCATTACAAGACTCAGGATTAGATTGAACTTTTGGGACGAACTCAGTTTGATTGTTACCTGGAATTTCGGACTGTTTAGGTTCCTCCCTTGGTTCGGATTCATGGTTGTGTAAAGAGATAGGACCTTTTTCCTTTGAAGATTTTCTCCTTGAATAGGTCAGTATGTTGGTACCTGTTTTGGTCCCATTCTTTTCACCAGTGAGATTTAATTTGGGTGATGGCACTAGGGATGTCTGGTCCGAAATATTTTCAGCCCATGTTTCATGTACAGCCTGGTCTTGGTCAGGAAATTCTGGTACAAATTTGGATTCTAAAGTCTGCTTTTCCTCATCCGGATTTGTACCAGATTTTGTAACAGTGGTTTCTAAATTCAAGTTTGAATCCGGGTTTATTTGAAAAACATCAAGAGTATCATCATCCTCATCTTCCTTTTTTCTCCCCTCCTGTAGATGGTATTCAAAGAAAGATTTATTTTCAAAAAAGGTTACATCCATGGTGATAAACATTTTTTTTAGAAATAAGATCATAGCATTTATATCCTTTTTGAGTCTGGGCATATTCCACAAAAACACATTTTCTAGCCCTAGGATCAAGTTTCCCTCGATTATGCTCATGATTATGTGTAAAAACAATACATCCAAAGATTTTCAAAGGGAGTGTAGAAGTAAGTCTGGATGTAGGGTAATTAGTTTTGAAAATATTTAATGGTGTTTGAAAACGTAGAACCCTAGGAGGCATCCGATTTATTAAATAAGTGGCTGTCAAAATGGCTTCCCCCCAAAGATACTTAGGGACATTATTTTTAAATAGTAAGGCCCTTGCAACTTATAAATGGTGTTGGCTTTTTCGTTCAGCCACACCATTCTGTTGAGGAGCATCATTACAAGAACTCTGATGAACAATACCTTTTTTCAAGAAAAAAGATGCTAAAATTTTATTGAAATATTCTTTCCCATTATCCGTTAGTAAAATTTGAATCTTTGTTTGAAATTGAGTTAAAACCATGGAGTAAAAATTTTTAAACACATTTTCAACTTAAGACTTATCCCTCAACAAATATACCCAGCTTACTCTAGTGTGATCATCTATGAACGTGACAAACCACCTTTTTCCCGAGGGTGTTAAAATCCTAGAAGGTCCCCAAACATCACTATGGATGAGCACAAAAGGTTCTGAGGGTTGATAGGGTTTTAAGGAAAAAGTATAACGATGATGCTTAGCCAATTCACATACTTCACATTGAAACAAAGATGGATTTTTATTTCTAAACAAAACTGGAAATAATCTTTTTAAATAATAAAAATTCAGATGGCCTAGTCTATAGTACCATAACATTTCTTCATCACTAGTAATAGAGACAATTCCATAACATGTACTTTGTACTGGCCTTTTTCAACTTGGTCCATCTTCAAAGAAATAAAGTCCTCTAATTTCTCTAGCACTGCCAATCATCCTCCCTGTGGTTAGTTCCTGAAACTCACAATAAGATTGAAAGAAGTTAACTTGGCACTTAAGGTCACTGGTTATTTTACTAATGGATAATAAGTTGCATGAGAGATTAGGAACATGAAGAACATTTTGGAGGGTAAGAGAAGTAGAGATAACAATTGACCCTGTTCCAGCTATTACTGACAATGACCCATCTGCAATTTTAATTTTCTTATTGTCTGCACAAGGGTTATACGATGAAAATAATTTTGAAGAACCGGTCATATGATCGGTTGCACCTGAGTCAATAATCCATGAATGAGATGGATTAAATTTTTCACAAGAAAAGGCTATGGTAAGATAGTTACCCTTTTGGGCCAAAGAGCAGGAAGAGTTTACTGAGAACTGTGGAGATTGAAATAGGTGGTTTAGTTGTTCCTTGGTGAAGGGAGATGCCTCTGAGGTGATTTACTGCCCTTGAGAGTCTTCATTCACGGTTTGTAAGGCTTTATTTTCTCCTCCGTTTCTCTTCTTTTGACTATGAGGTGGTTTCCCATGGAGTTTCCAGCAAGTCTCTTTGGTATGCCACGGTTTTTTACAGTGGTCACACCAGGGCTTCTTCTTCTTTTCTCCATTTGAGTCACTTCCTTTTGACACTAAAGCCGAACTCTCAACCTCAGGACTATTTTTAGGTTGAAAAGTCTTCAGCGTTACTTTGCGCCTGGTTTCCTCTCTTCTTACTTCAGAGAAAACTTCCCCGATGGAAGGTAGTGGTTTCCTTCCTAGGATTCGGCCTCATACTTCATCTAATTCTTGATTAAGACCTGCAAGAAACACATATACTCGATCATTCTCCTCTCTTTTCTTATGGCGAACACTGTCAGTTGGACAGTCTCATTCATCTTCATAGCAAAGATCCAATTCCTGCCAAAGTGGTACAATCTCATTATAATAAGATGTAACGTCGCGGTCTCCTTGTCTGGACTTCCAAAGCTTCGTTTTTAATTCGAAAATTTGGGATGAATTTTCCACATCCGAATACATGTCACGGACTGCTTCCCAGACATCTTTGGCTGTGGGCAGGAATAGATGTGGCTTTCCAATGGCTGGTTCCATGGAATTGATGAGCCACGCAATCGTCAAGGAGTTCTCTGACCTCCATGTTTTCAGGTTCGGATCCCCTGCTACTGGTTGCTTCACTTCGCTGGTTAAATAGCCGAGTTTTCGTCTGCCGTCAATGGCCAGTTTAACGGACTGAGCCTACTCTAAATAATTACTGCCATTTAGCTTATGGACAGTCATCTGATACCATAACAGTTTTGAGAACAATAATCAATATTACTTATTTTATTAAAAGAGTATGTGAATATATATAGGAAGTAAGGAAAGCTACTGATAAGCCATAAACTAGGAAACTAATTATCCCTTCTAAAGGATAAGATAAACTAGGGTGTGTTCACTTCACCAATCCAAGTTTTACAATTTGAGTCAAAGTTATGGTTAGAGTTAGAATCTTGATTGGAATTGAAATTGGAATTGGAGTTAGTGTTTTAGGAGTCCATTTCAGCTAC